CCGCTGCCACAGCCCCACGTCACCCCGGGCACGAACCGAGGCCCCGCAGGGCCCCCGTGTTAGCTGGGAGCCCCCGGAGCTGGAGCGATCGCTGGGTTGCACCCGGGCTATGCGTGCCGCCTTGGCAAGCGGGTGCCCAGCAGGCACCGCGCCCCGCTGCCACGCTCCGTAGCGCCCAACACCCCACTTATCTGGCACTGGGTGCAAGGACCTTATCCAACACCACGGCCAGATCTTGCAGGCTTTAAAGGATCCTGCTCTGAGAGCATGGTCACTTCTCCATCCCCTGTGCTCCTATTGCAGACACCCCCTGTTTGTCCCCAGGGCCCGAGCGTCACCAGGCCAGCAGCTTAAAAAAATACTTCTGAAGATACTGAACCACTGGGGACCATATCACAGCCAGCTGAAGAAAAGGCTTCTCTAATAAAACCCTGGAGAGGTGGGAATTTTTTTTAATTTATCCTTTACCCTGTTTGCCCACACAAGCCCATGTGAAGGGCTGGGCTCCTGCTCTCATTTTAAACTCTCCCCCCGCCCCAGGCTGAACACTTGCGCGACTGTAAGCTAAAAGGAGCTGCAGTCTGGGTCTGTCCGGTACCATCTCACTGCGGGAGGTGTCTCAGATTTTTCTTTTCTAAAGGTAAACAGGAAAAATAACGAACGTGAGCCAAGCCGGCAACACCAAGAAGGGTCCCGAGTTGGAGACCAATATTGCCAAGTGTAATGCATGTTATTTCAAAAGACCCAAACCTCTCTGTTTTTTCAAGACCTCTGAGCAAGACAGGGGATGGGATGGAGCGCCACTCAAGGCCATCAGCCACCCTTCAGGAGCCCACACGTACCTGTTGGGAAACGCTCAACAGGCCTTGCAAGGATTTCTGCCACGGCACCCAAGCAGGGAATGGGGAGGAGGGTGCCGATTCCAGCAGGCGCCCCCGATCCCCCCGCGCGTTCTGCTGCCTGCAAGCGCCCCCACCGCAGGCTCTCCCGCCAGCCCCCTCCCTCCAAGGCTCGGGCAAGCGGCTGTTCCTGGGGAGCGTGAGCTCAACTGGGCTCGGCTTTTGCCGGAGGTCACCGGGGGGAGCGCCCAGGGCGATGCCGCGCTGGCAGCAGACCCTGGGAAGCGCTTGCTGGCCCCCTCCCCGGAGCGAGCGGGTGCCCCAGCGGGCTGCTCCCCCCGCTCCCCCCGGGACCGACC